GACACTGCCCACATTGTCACTTAACCCTTCTACAACCCTTTCAGGTGAGGCTGTCATTGGGTCCATCTCACAGACAGCGAAACTGACTGAGGCTTATCGACACCCGAGGCCACACAGTGAATCAGTGGCAGAGCTGGGGTCAAACTCACCCCTCTCTGACTCCCACAGCTTCTTTGGTTCACTGCCTGCCACAAACGATAAACCCTCACACCATGCTTAAAGGATCTGGAAGAGGTTACCTGCCGAGCCCCTGGTGAGAGCGTCCTCAGTTCCCTGGTGTCACCTGGAGCCGCTCCTGCGCAGGGTACCTTGTCTCCAGCTGGTACTGCCTAGTAGCAGGCTGTCAACTGAGTGGGGCTCCCCGCCTTTTGCTTCCTCGTCCGGGGCCTGCTGGCTGAATACACAGGGCAGGGCAAACACAAGACTGGGTGGGGCCCTCCCGGCCCCTGACTGCCTTATGGAAGCAGGTGCTCTTCCTGGATTCGGGGGCCGTCCTTGGCTCTCCAATAGAAGCCGAGCACCTGATGGCCCTCACGCTTATGCCTCCTTGGCACTCCAAGCATCCTGTCCAGCGCCCCTCACCCACCGCAGCCGCTCAGGTTGACCTGGTAGCTAATTTCCTTCCCTGGTAACCACGGGTCATGGTCAGAGCAGGGAAAACACGTTCTGTGAGGTTTTGCAGTTCTGTCTGCCTTTCACCTTCATTTATCCCAGAACACCACCTCCACCGCCACACAGCCACTTAATCGGAAGGAAATGGCGTCTCCCCCACGGCACCGCCCCCCACTCAAATAAACATCACTCCCAAAGGGCTCTGGACACTGGAAAGCGGGGAACCTAAGGGTGGCGCATTGCTCTGGAGACTGGGCATGACATTGGAAAGGGCATCCTTTTCATCTGCAGGCTAGAAATTCAAGGCAGGCTCTCTGATTTATTCAATTCCACCAAGGATATTTATTAAAGTGTCTCCTAAGGACCTATGCAATACAGTCTGAGAGCATAGGGTAAAAACAGAAATAGAAAAAATAAGAGCGAGCACATCAATGGGACCAGGGTCATAAATAAATGTGGATGTTGATTTACAGTCTTGCAGTGAAGATATGGCTTTGAGCTTCCTAACAGCCTGTGCGAAAAGGGAAACTAGTAAATTATACTACTCAGTGTTCTTGAGAAAACATGTAGGAGCAATGCAAACTAGTAATTATTGTGGCTTTATTCATTAATATGCTCATCTAAGCACCTGTTGTGAATACTTGTTGAATGCCAGGCTGTATATAGGCCTGGGTTTAGGGAGATGAGGGAAGGAGGCCCTGTCCCCACTCTCCCTGGGCTCATTATAATTGAACACAGAGTCCTACAAATAAACCTAGAACCACAGAGTGTGATCCCCATTATGAAACAGAAGCCAAAGCTGCTGAGAGAGAAACAGGGGGAGCCAGAGAGGGCCCCTTTCAGAAAGCAACATATATGGGACAAAAATACTATTTACATAAACACTGAATTCACAGTTGAATGCACCATAAATAGGGCTATAAAATCGGTTCCAGCTCAGTGCTGTACCTTGAAGTCTAAAATGGAACAAACCCAGTGATGAAGCAGCTGTCAGGCACCCACCATGCCGATGTGAGCACAGGGGCAGCCTGGCCTGCAAGTTCAAGAGCTCGGGCTCCAGCCCTAGGTTCAGGCTGTGACTCTACTGCCGAGCTGTGTGACCGTGAGCCAGCCACCATCCCTCCCTGAGTCTCTGTCGGCCTGGCCCGCCACGGCCGGGAGCCCCTTTGTGTTCATGTTTGGATCCCTGGCTCCCAGTATCCTGCAAAACAAGATGGCCTGCCTCCGGACACGGAGCAGGTGCTCGTACTAGCACTTACTGATTGGACTGGCTCACTCTTAATAATTTGCGACAATAACTGCCATGGCATTTTCCTCTTTGCAAAGCATTTTGCATCCATCCCTCTCTGTCAGGTCCACACTGTAATGAGGGGTTTTGCAGAAGACATATGAGGTTGAGGGGTACGAGTGACTTGGACCACTAAAGAATGCCATTCGGTAGGTCGCCTAGCAGTGTGCCTGGAGTGCGGCAGTCTCTCATCAAGTGTTAACTTAGTCAGTGGTGCTGGGGAAAAGACCAGCGACACGATTTGCAGTACTCAGTGCAAAAGCAAACTGTGGAGCCCCTTGTTCTAAAAGCAGGAAAAAGGACTGCGGACGGCCCTAAAATACGTACACAGCCTTTTCCTTTCTTCCATGGCCTCTCTCTCTCTACTTGTCAAGTCTTTTATTTGCTCTTCAAAGTCATTCTAACTGAAGGAAAAGTAAAATTTTAAATAATCAGCTCGAATCTTATCACTCATCTGTATAGTGTGCAATGCTGGTTTTAAATGCAATGAACGCACGCGATCATACAGCTTGTATTTCATTCTTACTAAAACAGGGGGCGCCCCACACAAACGGCCTCAGTCATTTTTACTTCACCTCTCGACACTCACATGTTCCCACCAAACCCCCCACCTCCAGTTGACTGATGAGTAAGGAAGGGCTGAAAGGAAGTGAGACTATTGTTGCCCAGTCTTTCCCCTTTTCTTTGTCATCCTTTCCAGCACAGTGGCTATTAGAGGTGACACGATGACAAAGGACATGAGAAGGTTCTTTAGTTCTTCCTGTTTCTTAGCATACATTGCCTTCTTTCTGCATTTGAGATAACTTTTGATTCGAATGGCAAGTGTGGCTTCTCAGGGCTGGCAGCGGCCCTACAAACTCACCTTATATTCACTTTGAGGCTTGCTGAACACCCACCCATCTTGGGTCCGCTGGAATTGTCTGCCTATGGGACATCGTAAACGCTACATGTGAGTGAGGTGGCAACAGACAGTGGACATGTATGTTGCGTGTATCTTCCATGCTTACGTACATGCCTCATTGTCCATAAATTTGACTGTCCCCCCCACCCCGTTACCTCACTAGCCTTCTCCCCACCCCCTTCCCCTCTGGTAACCACTCATTAATCTTTTAAAGATTTNGGCCGCGAAATGACTGTCAAATGGAATTGGGAGGTCCTGGAAGGGTGGACTGGTGGCAGAATGAGTCACCGAGTAAACAGAAACACCTTTGATCAATGCAACGGAATGTAGGCAAACTGTGAGCCCTCCTCACCACCCGGCTGAGGGCAGTGCCAACATGGCCAGGCTGGCACACCCAGCAGAAGGAGCCCTCTGCCCCCCAAGTCCAAGGCAAGTTCAATGTGAGTAAAGAGAACAGACCTGCCCTGCCGGGTCCTGTGATCCTGCATAGCCCCGTCCCCAGCCCCTGTGTTCCCCAGCATGGTCCTGGGAACATGGTAGACACTACCAGGGCTGCCATGCCCAATGGTACGGGCTGCCTCCTGCACAAGGGGACTGAGTTCACCCCCCACTGTGCCCCAAGCCCTGCGCCCTGGTGTGGGACTGTGTGCGGCCACAGGGAGGGGTGGCGTTATCACAGCGGAGCTGGGTGTTTCAGGAATGCTTGGTAATGGATGCAACACTCAGTTATGTTTGTATAAATGGTGGCTGTTCTTAGAAGGCTCAGAGCTCACTGTCATCTCCTCGGTGTTGCACCAAACGTTTTAAAGCTAAGAGCGATAGCAGGTAATGTTAACTGAAGGCTTACTGTGAGCCAGGCAGGGCCAGGGTTAGGGTGAGGCGTGTGAGGTGTGTGAGGCGTGTGAGGGTAAGGGGCAAAACGCAGGAGCTGTGTCTCCTCGCAGGTGGACAGGTGCAGAATCCACGCCGGGGAGTGAGTCTCTCCCTGCATTTTGTCCCCAAGGTGCCTCGCTTGCTTCACCCCAGTCGTAGCTCTGGGATCCGGCACTTTACTTTCATTGACTCCATTTTCTTTACAGCAGCCCATTACTCCCCCATGACACAGATAAAGAAACCGAGGCCAGTGATGCAATCCCCTCCCTCCTGGAATGTAAAGTCTGTAAAGCCCCCAATTCACATTTGGCGATTAAATGGATAAAGCCCAGTAACCGTCCTCAGATCAGGAAGCTATGAAGAGGCAGAGAGCTAGGGTTGGGCCTGTTTCCACGTGACTCAAGCACTCAGACCCTTAACGGCTTCGGGCCCAGCTCCGGGCAGAAGCAAGAGAAGGTGCCAACACTGTGACACTCCACAGCGTGTAACAGCGGCGCCTGCGTGGACCGGGGCCCTCGAGCCTCGCTAGGCCTTTCCCTCCATCTCCCTGTGCATCCCCTGTCGTCAGAAACCGGCCCCAAGGGGCTCCAATGGGCCCATTGTGCTCCATGCCTTTTTCCTAAAAAGACCACCCTCCCCAAGTTTCAGGATTCTTGGGAACAAAGAATCATCCATGATCTGGGGCTTGTTAACCCACTGTCCTTAAATTGAAGGCTACCTGATCACTCCCCCTCTCTTGGCTTTTATTTAAGGAGAAAGCAGGGTATATACATTCCAGGCCTGCAGTCAGCAGGGCGTGGACATGGGTGGGGTGGGTGAGGCACTCAGCAAAGAGGGCTCAGAAAACTCAGCCATCCAGGTGAATAATGTATTTTTAACACAGCAATAAAATCGCCAGAACAATGCTGTTACTGATCCTTTCTTTACTTAACACATTTTCTTCATCACAGATCTATTGGCATTACTTTAAAAATTTTTAAATGTTGCCTAAAAATATAATTTATCTTGATGACTGAGTTTTTGGGGTGTCTCTTAAATTCTGCACCCGTGATGAGCGCCTCACTCATGTCACTCAAATCCGGACCCTGACTGGATCCCAGTTCCACGGCCTCCTTCCTCTGACCCCCGAAAGGTGTTCTTCCCCCCTCCCCACCCCCAGGCAGGCCCCCTGCCTCATCTTCCTAATTGTAAAATGGAG